CCCCCCCTCACACACAAATATCCCCCCACACACCTGAGCCTCACTCAGCTGCACCCTCAGGGTCTCCACCTCCTCTCTCAGCTCCCTGATGATGCCGGCATTGGGATCCTCATTGCCTCTGCCCGCCCTCCATCCCCACCCCCACAATCCCCACACACAGCTCCCAACACACCTGAGCCTCACTCAGCTGCACCCTCAGGGTCTCCACCTCCTCCCTCAGCTCCCTGATGATGCGGGCGTTGGGGTCCTCGTTGACCACAGCGTGGTTGATGATCCGCTTGGCCCGGTCGGCGTAGCGCAGGGTCGACAGCGTTTCCTCGTAGTTGTCCGCCGCCGGGGAGATGGTGGCCACCATCACAGTCTTACTGTTGCCGCCCAGGTTGTCCTGGAGGGAAAGAGGGATGGAAGGAGTGAGTGAGGGATGGAAGGAGTGAGTGAGGGATGGAAGGAGTGAGTGAGGGATGGAAGGAGTGAGTTAATTTTAGTAAGTGTTTTACGGCTCTTGCAACACAATAAGGTCATCTATTATCTATTTGTGGAGGCCGAATTTTGCTATTCAAGAGGATTTTTAATGGCTGCATCGATCGACATGCGGTTTTCGCCTAAAGATTCTTTAAAATATTCTCCCGATCATGATACCCTTCGTTTTTTCAGTTTTGCGACAGTTTTGCTGCAAAAAGTTAATTTTTAAAAAATTTCGCTGATCACTTTTGTAGGCCGACGCTTCTGTCTCTGTAATTTTAGAAAATCCGCTAGGTTTGTTTATTTCAAGTCGTACTTCCGTTCGATACTATCGCGCATTGTTGCGCAATACTGAGCATCTATTATATATTTGGCAACTTGGAAACACATGACATGTGTCATTTTTCTCTCAAGATTTATTGCTCCATTCCAGTAGATGTTAATGCACCGATCATTCCTTTCATCGAAAGGGGGCCCAGCTAGTACTATTATAAGTGCTAAAGATTAGAGGTGTTACAAGAGAGTAACAAACACAAAAAAAGAAGGAGGAGAGATAAGGACGATAGATGATTGATACGAAAGAAGGAACAAACCACACGAGAGCACCCGCCAACCAAACACGGATGGAAGGAGTGAGGGATGGAAGGAGTGAGGGATGGAAGGAGTGAGGGATGGAAGGAGTGAGGGATGGAATGCCACCGGCCCCATACCAACCCCATCCAAAATATCTCTCTCTCTCTCTCTCACTCTCTCTCTCACACACACCTCTCTCACACACCTCACACACACATTCTCTCTCCTCTCTCTCTCTCACACACACACACACACACTCTCTCTCTCTCTCTCTCACCCACACACACACACACACACACACACACACACACACACACACTCACCTTGAGTAACCAGGTGAGCACAGAGTCCCTGTAGGGGACAAACTTGGCCTTGTTCTTCCCACCAGCCGACTGGTCAGCCAGGGCGGAGATGACCAGACCCAGGGTGGTCAAGGACCTGAACATGACACACACACAAACAGACACATTAGTTATTAGTTCAATTCCTATAGATTTCTGGGAAGGACTTCTGTAATGAGCGACCACCCCAACAAACGCAATTTAATAAAGATGAGAGCTAACCCTATCTGTACCCCAAACCCTAACCCTATCCCAAACCCTAACCCTCAACCCTAACCCTCAACCGAATTGGAGTAAAGCAGTCTGCTGCCAGCCCACTATGTGACTACCCCTCAAAGACAGTGGAACATCATCTGTTCTTCTGTAGAAAACTAACTGATTTAAGGGAATGTTTTCTTCCCAAGCTACCCCATACATCTAACTGCCTCTACTCCTCAAGACAACAATTAGAACAGACATGGTACTATTATAGAATAGCATCATGCAAAAGAATTAACGCTCAGATGCTACTGGATCGCTAGCAACAACAACAACAACAACAACAACAACAACAACAACCCTAACCCTACCCCTCTGTTCTACTCCGTCTCATAGTGGTCGCCCATTACGGAAGTCCTCCCGTTTTCTGACCCACGCAAAACGTGGCTGATGAAATAATGGTAAATTTCAACATCTACGTTCATCATCATTCATCATGATCACCATCATCATATCAAGTAAACAGGCTGAGACTTGGTATGATTTCCAAAATATATTATATAATACGTTCAACGTTTCGCCGTATGGCTTCATCAGAAACTTTTTAAATAATCATAATATATAAAGGATAGGGGTCTAGGTCTAATAAAGAAAGTATATAGTCATCATTAATGAAAACATAATCACTATCACAACCATTCTCATAATCATCATCACCGATATCACCACCGTCACCCAAACCACCATCCTCATTGTTGCTTTTCCCATCATCTTTTCTTTTCTTAGTTTTCTAATAACTGTAATCATCAAAGTACAACATATTGCTGCATTTACCTCAGTACTTTTAGGTATAAAACGTTCTAATTCTACAACGGATAAAACGAGATGAAGAAAATCCATAATCCATAAAAATTATTTGACATTCGAATGGCTGTTTAACTTCGAATAGTTGTGAGTATAGTCGACAAAGTCGTGAATAGGCTTATTGAAAAAGCTTAGTAGAGTCGAATAGGTACAGCTCGATATTAAACCTCGAATGCTTCTTCCGGAGCGACTGAGAGAAAAACTCACTTGTTGATGTTGCTTCCTTCCTTCAGTCGTTCTCCCATGGCCCCGGTCTTCTGCGCTCTCTCACTCCCGGCCAGATCCACCAAGGACAGTTTGCTCACCTTCTCACCAGACACCTGAGGTGAACAGACAGACATACGGACACATAAGCAGGGTGTTCTTTTTTATCCAATGCTTTCGATCTTCACAGCATGGAGCTAATTAAGATTGAACACAAAACCGTATTTTTCAAAAGAAATAATAATATCTCTCTTTCTCTCTCTCTCTCTCTCTCTCTCTCTCTCTCTCTCTCTCTCTCTCCTTTTT